AAGGCATTTTAATTTCTTTCCCGTTTCACGCTCTACCATGGCATGAAATATCTTGAAATAATCAAAAGTCCGGTCCTTTGTCTTTAATAAGTACACCCACACCTTTCGAGAAGCATCATCAATGAAAGTCAGAAAATACCTAGTGCCGCCAAGTGACTTCTCCTCCATGGGACCACAAATATCAGAGTGTACCAGACTGAGTAACTCTGATTTTCTGGTTGAAGAAAATGTAAAAGAGACTCTATGTTGCTTTCCGAATAAGCAATGATTACAAGGTCTAAAGCAGCATTCTTGTCCATTCTGATAAGCTGCTTTTTCGTTAGAATTGATATCCCCTTTTCACTCATGTGACTGAGTCTTTGGTGCCACAGGTTTTGAGATGCCTCTTTTTCCATAACGTTGAGGCTGTCTGAACATACCTTCACATGAGTTTTATATAAGTTGCCACAAATATGTCCTCGAGCGAGAATCATAACCCCTTTCAGCAATTTCCATGTGCCTTTCCGAAATAACTTTCATAGCCCTGTTTGTCAAGAGCTATACCTGATATTAGGTTTAGACGAAGATCTGGCATATGACGGACATCCTTCAATATCATTGTACTCCCGATATTTGTTTGTATTTTGATATCACCAATTCCAACTATCTCACAGGAAGAAGTGTTCCCCATCTTCACTACTCCAAAGTCTCCTGCTTTGTATGTTGTGAAGAAATCTTTTCGGGATGTGGCGTGGTATGATGCTGTAGTATCTACCACCCATTCGTTTTCTTCTTGACTTGAGACGTGAAAGCATGTCTCTTCTTGGATGGAACAAATGGCTACCTCTCCGTGGGTAGTGACTAATGCATCTCCATCCTTTTGCTTCAACTGCTCCTTCTCTTTATGCAATTTTCTGCAGTTCTTCTTTAAATGGCCCTTTATTCCACAGTGGTAGCACGCATATGATGACTTCCTACCATCTGTAGATTTTCCCCTACTCTTGCTTCTGCCTCTCCTCTTATCTTTACTTTTTTCTTGTTGTCTCCCTCTTTCTGTAATAAGGGCATGCGACTCACCATGATCGATGTCCTTTCTTCTGGCTTCTTCATTAAATAAGGCATCTTTAACCATAGACATGGTCAGATTTCCACTAGGAGCTGAATTACTGAGAGAGACTATCAGCGTCTCCCAACTATCAAGAAGAGAACTAAGGAGTAGTAGGGCTTGCATCTCATCCCCGAGCGGCATGTCAACAGACGATAATTGATTTATCAAGCTCTGAAACTCACTGGTATGCTCGGCAACTGAAGTTCCGTGCTTTAACTTCAAATTTACCAAACGCCTCATCAACAAGGCTTTGTTCCTAGCGGTCTTGGCTTGAAACATCCCTTCTAACTTCACCCAGAGGGCATACGCTTCTGTCTCTTGTGCAACATGATGAAAAATGCTATCGTCAATCCATTGTCGAATTTGACCGATAATTTTTCTGTTTAATTTCTTTCACTCTGCTTCTTTGGTGGAATCGGGGTTCCTACCCTTTGCTTCTATGGGATCAAACAAATCTTTACAACTGAGGAGATCTTCCATCCGAGGTCTCCACAATGTGTAATTTGTGGCAGTAAGCTTTATCATAGCTCCAGATGATGATGACTCTTCCATTATGTCTTTAAAATGGCTTGGTCAAAATTTTGGAGCAGAATCTCACCAAACGGAACTNGAGCAGGATCTCACCAAACGGAACTCACCAACGCGTCCGGAATGGTGAAAAATGGTAGGATTGACTCTTCTTGGGTCAAAATAGGGCCTCCAGAAAATTTTCAAAATTTACACCAAACTTTTGGGGTTAAATCGAAAATATACTGAACTTGTGGGGCAAATTTATAATTTCAGTAACTTCAGGGGTTATTTCATAAATTTCTAAAAATTTTATGATGACTGGGCGCTAACTAGATGCTGACGTGGCGCTGACTAGATACTGACGTTGCGCTACCTAAATCCTGACTGGATGATGACGTGGCGCTGACTGGCCAATTACTATTCATCATCTTCTTCCTTGGGCAGAAGAAAGAAAATTGCCATAACTTCTTCGTTTTAGCTTTGTTTGGCCTCCTGAAAATTGCGTTGAATTCGTATCGACGCAAGGAATCTAATGAAATGATCAAAACACACCGAAGATCACGTTTCGAAAAACGTAAATCCGGGTTGAAATTTTCAGTGTGCCGATATTTCTCGATGAACACAGAATCGAGGGCTCTGATACCACTTGTTGTGCTTCTCGGATCAATATGAAGATTATTTGGGAGGAAAAACAACTCTATTTCACAAGAATAGAATTACAGAGAATCTACACCAAGAATTTCTCTCTACAAAAAAACTCACCAAACTCTCTCACAATCTCTTCCTAGATTGTATTTCAATCTCTCTGGATTGATGTTTCTGTGTAAAACATAAGGCTCTATTTATAGCCTTAAAGAAGGTGGTTGGTGGTTGAATTCTTCATTCAACAATGGAGGCTTCAACAATGGTGGCTTCTAGAATGGATTGGTGGCTTCAACAATAGTGGACTTCTAGAATTGGTAGTTGGCAGCAGCTGAACTTATCAGTGTGAGCTCAGCTGCACTGCCAGGAGGTGGCGCAACTTGACATTGCTCAATCACAGACGCCATTGTAGCTTTTGGTTGAGAAATACAGAGAGTAGGTTTGGCTTATCAATATATAGAAATATTGCACGTGACAAAAACTATTGCTTCTGGTGACTCAAGAGGTGACTTTCGTACATGAATTATTAGGCCAATAACGATTTGTGGCTGATATTGGATTAAGCCTGTCACTACAAGGGGCGGAGCTAGGTGCACCGTCCGAATCCCCTTTGTCGAAAATTACACAGTATATATAAAGTCAATCTTTCCATATATATATAATAGATGTTGAATCTCCTTAGCGTCTTCACGTGTTTACTTTTTTTATTTTTTGAATCCCCTTAGTGAAAATCTTGCTCCCACCACTAGTCACTACCATATGAAAGCTGCTAGGTTGTTGTAGAAAATCCAATTGCACATCTATAATTTTTAATCTATTCAATAGATTTCACACCAAAGTCTTTCTATCTTTTCTTTAATTATTCGACATTTGAAATTCATCAACTCGACTAATTTGATTTGTGCTGAATCGGATCATTACGGGGTAAATACTCCCTATTAAAAGTTCTAATATTTTCAAGGTTCGAACCCAAAAACTCTCATTAAGAGGATATGAATCGCGACTATCCCACGAAACTCTTTCGTGATCCCAAATGTTTTTACCTAATAATTCGGTGTGAACAGAAAATTCGGCGTGTGCGGACTTGAGAATATCTTCAACTTCATCATTGATTAGATTTAGTTATTTGGTCAATCATATAGTAAAGCAGTATTATGGGAACTTTATGTGAATAGATAAACGTCAAAAGCAAGACAATAAATTGCACAAGATTGTGAAATCCATTTCCAGGAATAAAAAATCTTTGTACTTCCTAGTTGCACTTTCTCTCATTATTTGATTGGAAACTAGAAGGGTATATAAATGCTAAATAAATAGGAATGTAGTTAAAACCTTGGACGACATTGTACTTAAATAACAATAAATACTGACAGTCATGTTGAAAAGGACATTATTAATGATTAAATATTGAATCCCTTTAATATAAGAAAAGATGCTATTGTAATGGTAAGGGGGTTCAAAAATTATTTTAAATCACAAGTTCAAATCCTAGATATGATATTTTAAAGTATTTCAAAACTTGCTCTAGGTTGTTTTTGAAAGGATGCCTTGGCGTAACTGGTAAAGTTGCAGCCATGTGACCAGGAGGTCACGGGTTTAAGCCGTGAAAACAACCTCTTGTAGTAATGCAGGGTAAGGTTGTGTAAAATAAACTCTTATGGTTCGGCCCTTTCTAAACCCCGCAAATAGCGGAAGCTTACTGCACCGGGTTGCCCTTTGCCCTCTTGGTTGTTTCTGTTGCATGCTTCAGCTTTAATAGGCAGATATCAGATGAAGGAAATTTTAAGTGATAGTATAAACTCAAGCTCTGCATTTGGGTGCCATTTTCCATATAAAGAGGCAGAGGCTTCTGAAGATTTCTCTAAATTTCTAAAGATTATTTGAAATAGAAGTTAGATGAATAACAGCTTGCTGCTATTATATATATATATATATATATATATATATTAATATGTGTCAGCTAAATTTTTTCCATTCTCAGACTGTTGATACTAATTCTCTTTACCTTCCAAACTAAACTGTCTTGTTAGACAAGAAGAATAGGACGACGACAATAACAACAATCTAGTGTAATCCGACTAATAGAATCTGGGGAGGGTAAAATGTACGCAGACTTTACCCCTACCCGAAAAAGATAGAGAGGTTGTTTCCGAAAGACCCTCGGCTCAGGAAAGATAGAGAAGAAAGAGTAACAGCAAGTAACAACACCAGCAAATCAAACAGAAAGTCAAAGAGAAAGAAAAGTAAGCAATAACATAAATCTAATAATAAGAAAATACAAGACTAACACTGAGGGATGCATTAAAACTACCGGAATGAGCAAGGACACATCTCGACTACCTAGCCTACTACCTTAATTCTCGACCTCCACACCTTCCTATCAAGGGTCATGTTCTCAGTAAGCTGAAGAATAGTCATGTCTTGCCTAATTACCTCTCCCCAATACTTCTGAACAATACAACACCAAGTGATTTTATAAACTCTTGCACATAACAAATAAATCAAACTCCATTTCCTCCACAACAAGAAGAAACGACATAGAGGACTCATCCAACTCCAATGTGGGGTGATGCCGTACTCGATTAAGGACCCGTTTAGTTGTTGTGCGGTTGCAAGGGAGCAAAATGTATCAAGAAGATATGGAGCAAAATAGAAAATACTTTGAAGACAAGGTTACAACAGTGCATACTTTAGATGCTAAGGACTTTTGGCCCTTTGGTGCAGCAACAACAACAACAACAACAAACCCAATGAAATCCCATAAGTGGGATCTGGGGAGGATAGTGTGTACACAGACCTTACCCTTACCGTATGAGGGTAAAAAGGCTCCTGTCTCTGCAACTAAGTTGACTACATATAAAGACAAAGACCGTCAAAGCCGGAGCTAGGATTTTAGTTTACGGCTTATGGAACATAATCCTTTTTACTTACGGGGTACATATTCACATCAACTTTTTAACACAAAGTCAAGGTTTGAGTCAAGCTATTGGGTCCTGCCAAACCCGTAGTTTTAAGGCTGGCTCCGCCCCTGAGGTCTATCACTTGATTAAGATATGAAATCACAATAATTAAACGAGAAATACATCAAAACAACAACAAGAGTGCACTAACAACTAATATAAGGCAACAAATGGGAAAGCAAAAGTTCAACATTCAATATGCCATAATTAGATAGCTCTAAACTAGGTGAAGCAAATGTGATAAAACATCTTACACTCCCACTATGCCATGAAACAGAATTAGCGGAAAGCGACATTCCATGTCGATTGAACTTGGTAAAATACTTTACCTTCTAATCACGTTCTTCTTTCGCACACCAAGAAGTTCTATAGTCCAGCTAGTCTTCAATCCATAAGCTTCCCATTCCTTCCAAGAACTCGTCCGAAACTACATTATCTCCTTGAAGCAAAACAAGTGATTCCATGTAATTTTGAACATAAAACGAGCGGGAACTCCCACGGATACCAAGATCCTTCTTGTGTCCACTATTTGGATCATAAGAAACCAGCTCATAGCTCCTAGTTGAAAACAAAACTTCACCATTATTCCTAAATCCAACTACTCTCTCCATATCATCCAAATTTATACTATAAAATCTTGTCCAAGATTCCAAAACTCCGTACTGCTTCATCACCCATACTTCACATGAACCACCATCTATCTCCCTCTCATACTTAACAACAGCAAGGGATCCCTCAAACACCATGATCGATAAATTCGTTGCAATTTGACCAGCTAAAGCATCCAGTAACATAATATCCCCAAACACCTCATCAGCTATACTAAAAGACATAATTAAACTCCGAACACCACCATTCTCGCCCACATCATATGCAATCCAATGGACAGCTCCATTCACAAAAGCCTGAGACCACATAAACTCCACCATACAATGCTTAATCTCAACTCCTATCACTCTCCTCCAAACCCCAGTATTGAGTGAATAAATTTCAACCTCAGGAGGAACATTATACTGCGAAAATATATCATAATCATTCTTATGATACACAAGTCTGACCAACTTGTAATCATCATCATTATTAGAAAAATTATCAGCACCAAATCCAAGTACAAACATGTGGGGTGACTTAGGCCTAATTAAAGGCAAGGGTAAAATTATAAACTTTTGAATAGAAGGGTTCCATAGAACTATATCTACATTCCCTACGACAGCAAAAAAATCATCACACAAACACATGATTCCATTGCAGCTGCCAACTATTCTGAAATACCCAAGTTGGCAAGTGAATGGGAAATTCAGTTGTGATGAGAAATCCACGGATAAAGTTCTATTGAGCCACTATTCTATTGAGCCACATGGTAAGATCATTTTTTTTTCAATACACGGATAAAGTTATTAAAATTATAATATTAGCCCTCAAATACCCTTTTGCATTATCATATCTGTTTGCAACTAATTTAAAAATAAATTGCAATCACAAAATAAGAGAAAAATATTTTTACTAATCAATTTTGAGTATAATTTTATTTCTCCCTTCATTCTTCGTATTTCTCGAATGTAGAATAATTTCTTCTCTCCGGATTATCTCCATAATTCGAGGGCTGAAGCTGCGTATTTCTCGAATGTAGGATAATGCAAACCTTCATGGGATGTATTTGATCTCCATAAATTTATGTCTATCCGGCCACATCTTGATCTCTTTGGAAATATCACTTGAGTTTATGGAATTTTTGAGATGATCTCCATTTTTTTGAGATATCTTTTTAAGAAAATACGTAACCCTTTTTATAGGAATGACCTAGGGTTAGGATAGAGTAGCTTCCAATGCTGGACTTTGGTAGAATAGCCTCCAAACAACACTGACAAACTCCTAGAATTTCAAGAGGTCTTGTAGTATATTTAGCTTGATCCATTAAATTTTCCATGTCTACAATATCAAAGGTTCAAACTGAATACAAAATTTTATCCATGTTTATTCAGTTTCAAACCAAATATATATTTTAGATCACACCTTGCATCTTCTATTTTTAATTCGGTTGAACCAAACGAAACAATACTGTTAAATAATCTTGGAAATATTAATTCCAACATTGACGCCTTATAAAATAAGTCAGTTACAGATATGACCCGGGAAAAAATAGTTTGTATGAATTGATTGCGGGTCGGGCTCAATCGGGTTACCGAGTTTTGCAAAACCCCAAACCCCCACTCTTGTGAGTAACTAATTTTCCAGCAATGGCAGAAGTCTAAAAACTCCAAACCTTAACCTCTCTGACCTCCAAAAACAATGTCGATTACACTCTCAGCTCTCTCATCTTCAATCTCATCTCTCAATAAACCCCATAAAATCTCCTCCTCACATTTTCCTTTAAATGCTTGCCCTCGTAATCAGAATATAGCTTTTCCCTTATCTATAACCAGAATTAAACCTTACGAGCTTGAATTGACCCAAAAAAGATATTCTGGGATTTTTGGTAGTAATTTTGGATTTTCGTTAATTAAGGAAAATGGGTTTATTATTGCTATCGAGTTGCACTCGTTTGGTCACCGGTTTGTTGCTGTTATGTTGCCGGATCTCCTCGCCTATTTCAGAAGCTTGCTTGTTGTTTTTCTTCAGTTAATTTCGGCTGCTAGTTACTTTCGGTGCTACACCAATGGTAGCGGCGACAACCCTTTTTGGTTTTTGGGTCGTGGTATTTTCTGTGTTTTCAGGGAAATTCTCAAAATTGTTGGAGACAAGTTGGGCGCACGAGCACTAGCAAAGGAGAGCAACGTGGACGAGCGTCAACAAAGGGCGGTGGAAAGCGGTGCGTAAGCTTGCAAGTACATCGAGGGCTGCAAATCAACACAGGTTTGGTTCTCGGGAATTGGTACCTCCCGTTCTACTGTTTTCCTTTTGGTGTTAGCTAAATTGATGTTACTTTAGTTCACAATAGTTAAATCATTCAATAGGTGTACCAGTAGTCACTTGTTTCCTTCTAGTTTGATTCGTTGTCCGTTGTGCACTAGCGAGTCTT